TGAGAGCATCATATTCTTCTTTCATTGCCAAGACCCACTCTTCTTTGGTTGCAGGATGATTATATGTATATGGTTTAGTTTCAATTTCTTCAGCTATTGCAGCATTGGCATATAGAGGGTTTGGCTTCCTGACTCTTGATGATCTTCTGGGATTGTGAGCGTCATTGTTGTTATCATTATTAACTGCTTCATTTGATTGCTCCAGTGAATGATCTTGAACCTGAACATCATCATTATCAATTACCACATTACTTCCTTCCGAATCTAGTCTCACTTTTGATGAATCCATTTATTCTTTAAGGAGTTTAGAGTCAGGAAGAACCTCATTCTTTTCTAACCACCATGAAGAATTCTCATCAAAAATCACATTCCTTGAGACATAACACCTTCCATAACTAGGATCACAACATCTCCAACCCTTTAACTTTTTATCATACCCCACCAATATGCAACGAACGGCTTTCTTTTCCATTTTACTTTGCAAATGGTTGGGTATAAAGTATAAACACTAACACACAAAGCCAAATACACGTAGATGACTTACATTAGGCTTGATCTCTAAGAGCTTCTTAGATGGTGATGCATAATCAAGATTTTGTTGTGGAATCCTATTGATCAAATATATGGTTGTTTTCATAGCTTCTTCCCAATACTTCCTTAAAAAATTTTGTCATGCATTATGCTTTTACAAATATCACCCCAATGTCTATTCTTCCTCTCAGATATCCAATTTTATTTTGGGGTATTTGGGAAAGTCAACTAGTGTTTGATTTTATGTGTTTTCATGTACTCACTAAATTCTGTTGTGAGATACTCTCCTCTATTATCAGATCGAAGACAACCAATGTTGTGTTTTATTTCTATTTCAGCTTCCACTCTAAACTCCTTGAATTTGGAGAACGTTTCATACTTTTCAACCATGAAATACACCCAAACTTATCTTGAAAAGTCATCTATGAACGTCATCATGTACTTCATACGTTTGACAGGAGATTTCTTAGCTGGTCCGAACACATCGGAGTATACAAGCTCTAATGGTTCTTTGGGTTTGTACTCTGATTTTCCAAATGGTTGATGATGAGCTTTACCAAATTGGCATGCGGCACACACAACATATTTTCTGACTTCAAGATTTGGTATACCTTTAACCATCTGCTTCTTCATCATCAAATCAAGTTTATCATTAGCTCACGTGACTCAACCTCATATGCCACAGTTTTAATTTTGATTTTTTTTATTTTATCCACATAAGTCGTTTCTAGTGACATTACATAAATGGAATCTGATCATCTTCCTTTCAAGATGGGTTTTGATGGAGTCTCAAACTCTTTGAAAATCTTAACATCATCTGGTCCAAACAACACATAATGACTAGTGGAAGCTAGCTGTGAAACTGAGAGAAGGTTCTTCTTCATACCTGAGACATGGTACATACTTTCGAGTGTTAGTTCTTTGTTGTTGTCTTCTTGAAAAAAAACTCCACCTCACCAACATGTGTAATTGGAAGTTTGGAGTTATCATCGATTACAACTACTCTACAGCCTCTATAGCTAACTGGGAGTTGGAGCTTCTTATGTTCCTCTGTCATATGATTAGAACAACCAGAATCAACAATTCATTCATCAAGACGGTTTCGATTATTTTTGGTGGTTGCTGTGAGTGCTAAGGCACCATCAATATCTTTCACTTGTGCATACATTGCTTCTGCATCTCACACTTCTTCTTCCCGTGACATTGCTGATGGGTTTTAAGCATAAGAACAATCAAATGTGCTCATACAAACCCTAATGCTTGGATCTAGGTTTGTCTATTGTACATGCAATGAATCCAAGACTTACAAACCCTAGATCTATCAAATAAGAACTGAAATAAGGGTTTAGTAATTACCTTTGATTGTTATATAGCAATAACAATCAATCCTTGCTTTGATTGGCTTCAGAAAGCTTAGTGCCTCAAGTGTTGCACCTCTAATGGAGTCACAAACACCACTAAGCAACTTGGATGAAGAGGGAGGAGAGAGGAGGCACCAAAAACGGCTGGAAACCCTAAAGGATTACTTGTCCACGTTTTTGGGGCTTAAGGGTCCTTTATATACATGTAGGCTATTAGGGTTTACAACTAGGAAACCCTAATCTGACTGCTTAGGCCCTAAGCAGCCCATAGACTCCTTTAACATATCCCTTGGACGATTTCTAATGGGCTTCCCATAGAATTCGTCCAACCTATATATTATTAGGTGATCCATAGCCCAATCGTAATTATCTTATAATTACAAATCCAGTCCCCTAAGTTTAATTAATCTCTTTTAGCCACAAAATTAATTCTTGACTAATATTAATTAAACTATATGATTTCTCCTTTAATATATTATTCTTATAATATATTAATAAATCATAATTAAACCTTTCTCTCCTTAATTCATCCTACATATTGCTATGGTGAAGGCAACCCAAAAGGACCATGCTCATAATCGGGTCAAGTACATACCAAAATAGTTATGGACTTAGACACTAATCCAACAATTGCAACATTCCTTTTTTTTTACTTTGGCGGTGATTCTTTCGTATTTCCTCATATGGCTCCCCTTTCTCATGATTGTAGGTATTCTTTTCCTTTTCATGACTTTTATTTCTGTCTGAACCCTTTCTATACTGTTGGTTACCTAATGATCAATATTTTCCTTTGCCTTTTTCTATATACAAATCTTATACATCATCCTTGATTGTTTCTCCTCCTATCTGTTTCGTTAAAGCTCCATATCTAGAGAGATTCTTGAATTGAACAAGGGAATGTTGGTTGTCCTAACCTTGAATCGCTGCGACGAAACTTCTAAACTCTGGTTGAAGCCCACGAATAATTATTCTTTTCATTCTTGTTTGACCAATTTGAGATTCTGTATCAAGCTCCATAATCTCTCTACATGTAGCCTTAACCTTGTGAAAATATTGCGGAATTGTCATATCTCTTTGAGACACAGATAGGAGTTTATTCTCAAGAATTTGCAACTTAGTATCATCTTCTTTGGGAACAAGCCTGATGATGTATCTCATGCTTCTTTTGGGGTTGACACATCTCTGATATCCTCAAGTACATCTTCTTCAACGGTCGTTTTTAAGATGAACATGGCTTTGTCGGACTTGATCTTCCACTTATGTAAGATCCCGGTATTATCGTCTGCCTCCAGTTGCCTAGTTTCAGCCCTTTTCATAACTTTCCACAGATCTTTCCCTTGCATGTATGACATGATGCAAGTAGACCATGTGTTGAAGTTTTGGTTGTTCAACTTCTTAACGCCACCAACGACATGAAGTTCAGCCATTTGCAAGGCTCTAATACCACTTTGTTAACCTTCAGAATACAATCATCCTAGTATACAACCATGGAATTCTACAAAGCAATGAAGGAAAACACACAATTCACACACTGTTGTATGTTCTCATTAACTAAACAATGAATTACAAAGGGAAATCCATATATGGCATAACTGAAAAAAAAAATTACCACTACCTAAGAAGTAGAGAAATGCAATTGGATAACTACCCACTATCTAGACTAATTCAACAAAGGGTAAATGTTAGACACATAAGATAAACATAAACTAATAAAATTGAAAGATAATGGCAAGCATGTGAGTTGCTTGCATGATCAGTTTGCATAAGTTGGATGTTGCACATTTAATATAGAGTTCCGTATGCATCTGCACTGTGCAATAGGAGTTTCTAGTAAGTGTATGTCCAATTCGAGGAAAGAGCATTGGTATGTAATCAATGCTTGATATATATATATATATATATATATATATATATATATATATATATATACTTGAAAGGAACTTATGGTGCTCAAAAGAAAATGAGTCATCATGGAAAGATTTGCATATACATATTTTGGTGGATGTTCATAATAGAGGAAGAACGTGACATGTCATGTTTTCACTAGTGGGAGTACAACAGTTAGTTGGATGTAAATGCGTCAAAAAAGTATTACTCTATCAACCATGGAAGCATAATACATTGACATCACAGATCGATACTGACAACTAGATTATTTGGGTAAAGAACTTTTTATCAGAGTTGGACGTAAAACAGAAAGCCTACATTGTTTATTATGACAATCAAAATGTAGTTCATCTTGCAAAGAACCTTGTGTTCCACAATTTGACGAAACACATTAAGATGAGATATCACTTTACCAAAGAATTGATAGATGATTGCATGTCGTCCTTGAGGAAAACGATCGGCATGAAGAATCTAGGGGGTGTTTGGCAAAAAAACTTATTGCTTATTAGCTTATAAGTTAATAAGTAAGTGTATGGTAACTTATGAAAAAAATGACTTATTAGAGGTTCCCCACCTGAATAAGTTATTTTCATCAAAACACTTTTTTAACTTATAGTGGTGTAGAACCTAAAAAGTTGTTTTAAAAAGCTTAGTCAAACACCCCCTAATATAGGTGTTTATCATGATAACTAAGAAGTTGAAGTGGAGCTCACTCCCGCTGCAAACTATAGAGAGGAGGCTACACTATTTGGTTTATGAGAGGTAACACACCTAAACAATTGGTTGGTTGATCAACATTCAACTTGGAGATTGTTTAGATATGGAGTTTAACCGTGTAAACCATGTAAATTTGGTGTGTTATTATTATTTTTTTATTTGTCGTTTTAAATGCTATCATAATGAGCGGTATAATATTACGTGAAACGGTAAAGCAAACCACGTAAACATTTTCTAAATGACCGACTAAATTTAGAAAGTCCTCACCAACCAAATTCTCTAGTTTATTCGATTTCAACCTGACTATGAATGATCATTCATACCCATATATCTGTCCTTCTAAAAGTGCATATAAAGACTTGGGCCCTGTGCAGTTGATTGTTCTATATTTGGGCAATTTAGTAGCCGTATATATCTTCACCCACTTGCAATTTAACATGAGTGGGCCCTAACTCATATTCGGTATTCCTATTTATAGCATCATATATGCCCATACTTCACACACCCTGCCTTAATTTCCTTTCCCTCCTACTCACTTCCATAGTACCACTTAAAGCCTAAATTACAATCCCACAAAGATCACCACATCTTTGTCACTCATACGATGCATTTCCTCCTCCCTCTTCTTTTCAGCTTTATTGCTTCTTCCTCAAGCAACGCCCAGCCTTCACCTGGTTTTTACCCAAGCTCCAAAATTACAACAGTACCCTTCAATCAAGCTTATAGAAACTTATGGGGCCCTCAACACCAGAGCTTCGACCAAAACACCATCGTCCTTTGGCTCGATAGGTCTACAGGAAGTGGCTTCAGGTCGCTCAGACCATACAAATCTGGCTACTTCGGGACAGCCATGAAGCTCCATCCTGGCTACACCGCAGGGGTCATTACTTCATTTTACGTAAGAATCTTGTCACACAAGCAATATATAAACCGCATGCATGCATGAGCTTGTCGCTTTGTGTTGTTTCTAGGGTTTAATGGTTGCTATTTATGCTTGAATTGTTTCGCAGCTTTCAAATGGCGAGGTTCATCCAGGGGACCACGATGAAGTTGACATCGAGTTTCTTGGTACAACACCAGGAAAACCATATACCCTGCAGACAAACGTGTACATTAGAGGGAGTGGCGACAGAAACATCATCGGAAGGGAAGAAAAGATTCACCTGTGGTTTGATCCGACCACCGCTTTCCATAACTACGCTATCTTATGGAGCCCCATTGAGATCATGTACGTTATTTTATTTTATTCGATCATCATTTTAACTTTCTGGGCCCTACTACCGGATCATAATTAAATGCAAATAAAATGGTTGTGAAAATATAAAGATAACGTAAACGAGTGGATTGAATGCAGATTTTTTGTGGATGATGTGCCGATTAGAAGGTACCCGAGGAAAAGCGATGCTACATTTCCTTTAAGGCCAATGTATGTATACGGGTCTATATGGGATGCATCTTCATGGGCGACTGAAAATGGTAGATATAAAGCTGATTATAGGTACCAGCCTTTTTATGGTCGATACAACAATTTCAAGGTAGGAGGTTGTGCTGATAACTCACCGGCGTCGTGTCGGCCACCGTCCGGTTCTCCGGCGAGGACGGGTGGGCTGAGCCGCCAGCAAGTGGTGGCGATGCTTTGGGTTCAAAGGAACTATAAGGTGTATGATTATTGTAGGGATCCTAAAAGAGACCACACGCAAACACCAGAGTGCTAAAATGGTGGTTTGAAAGAAAATTAATGGAGGCTTGAGATGTGTTCAAAGCTAATTAGCAAAATGGCAGTAAAGCGTCCAAGCCTACATTATTGAATTTGTTTTTTGTTTCTTTTTTTCTGTTTTTTTTTTTTTTTTTTTTTTTGTGTTGTGAATTGTCAATGAATTTCTAGGGAGTGGTTTGAGTATAATCGATGAAGATTGTCATATTTAATAAAGAAATCAAATAGGTAATCCTATTTTAAGATTAATTAGTCACTATCTTAATTTTGTCATTGGTTTATCACGAATCTTTATACCATATTTATTCTAACACTTATAACCTTCGTAATTAATTAATGTAGATCATAAAATAATTATTTTTATAATATGGTTTTATATCTATATTTTAATTTATAAATTATTTATCAAAAAAAAAAAGATGTTGGTGGCTCAATTTAACCCAATAGATTTAATTTTAAATCATTATTAAACCCGTTCATTTGTACTATCAAAACTCAATTATTATTATTATTATTATTATTATTATTATTATATAATTCTTTTTATTTTTATTATTATCTTTATGTTAGCTCTAATGATGATGATGATGATTGATAATTGAAAATTATTGATTGATAAATCACTTATTGAATAATTGGCTATATCTTAGAGTTGTACTAAATAAACCGATGGATGAGACATGTGTGTCGGGAGTATCACCATATAAACGAGATGGCTTTAGAATCACTATATAGTTAGGGTGAGCAAACCCGAACCAAGAAACCAATCAAAATCAACGGAATCAATACTGAAGTAAAACCGACAGTTAGAGTTTAAAATTTTTAAAAACCGAAAAATCGGTTTCGGTTTCGGTTTTTATCCAGAAACCGACTCATCCAAACCGAGAAACCGACCTACACATGATACCGACAAACCGACCCATCAAAACCGACATTCACCTCATTATATATATATATATATATATATATATATATATATATATACACACACACACACACATTGGCGGAGCATTATTAGGGCCAGGGGGGCTGTGTCCCCTCCTGATTTTTTGGTTCTAAATAGCCCTTATAGTTTCATTTTATACATTTTATACCTAAAAATATAAAATTTTATAAATTTTATATCCAAACGGCTGCAACATGTAATAAAAAGTCTGTTTGTTTTTTAACCTCTGCAGACCGCTACAATAAGTTAAAGTAAGGTGTGGAGAGGTTTGAAGCGGTGGGTCAAGTGTTGCGTTACGCAGCACACACGCATCAGTTTTTAAGTCAGAAGTCTTCTAAAAACAAACAGCTGGGAAGGGTCAAGTGTTGTACGTGTGCTGCGCGGCGCAACAATAAGTGGTCGGAAGTGGTTTTTTAAGAAAAACAAACAGCACCTAAATGTTGCACACGGGATGTCTTCATCCTAAATAAATGCATAGGTTTTGATGTTTCAATTTTCTATTCAAAGGTTTTAATTCGTTCTATTTGTTTAACTTTTTAGATTATGTTAAAGTTATACATATGAAAAATAACATGTTAAGGTTATGGAGAATGTAGGTCATACGAAATTACAGAGCAATTGCATAAAAATTTGCTCATATATTTTTTACTGTTGAAGTTTTGAGCATTTTTGAAAAATGGGTTAAAACTCATAACCCTTGAGTATGAACCCATGAAACCGAAAAACCGTCAAAACTGACTCCAGAACTCGAAAACCGACCCTATTTGGTTCTGAAAACCAGAAACAGGTTACTTTCGGTTTGGGTCTAAAACCGACCCTATCCGACCCATGTACAACCCTAATAGTTGTGAGGATTTGAAGCCATGCCAAGGGTACGATTATCCTTCCACATTACCAACACGTTCACATTAGGATGATGTTCAGCTTGGGCACACTGTGAAAAGAGGAGGAGGAGAAGAGAGATTTGTGTGTGATAGCCTAAGATAAATCGGTCAAATAAGATATCAAATTAAAAAAAATGATTTTTTTTTCTTTGCAGAAATAGGAAAACTCACTTCTCAAACGCCCAAGGGAGATGGCAATTGCTAATTGGCAACAATTTTAAAGGAACTTCATTCTGGACTCGTTAATTTCTGGTCCGAGTTGCTTGGTTGCAACTTGCAACTGCCGTATCAGCCCAACTTAGACCGTGGCCCAAATTAAGACCCAACGTATGGTATTGTAACATAAAATTTTTAATATATCCAAATATTCAATCGAGTAATAATATAATACAAATGAATTACCATTTACCAATAATTTGTTACCAGGCCCGGCCCAATGTGTGGGCAAGCTAGGCGACGGCCCGGGGCCCGTAACCAATTAGGGCCTCAATTTGTTGGTATTGTTAGATTTTATATATGTTTTGTATAAATTATAATACGTTGGTGGATGTTAATAGTAAGTGTCTATAAACTCGATTGATGAAGCGCATAGCCTCATCTATTTGCCGCCCGAGTTTGATACGTGCCTTTTTTTTCATTAAGTTAGCTTAGTTTTCTTTATTTGTGAATTTATTTTTGATAATACTCACAAATGTCAATTTAGTTATATTGGTTTTGTCCTTTGCTTTTTCAAAAAAGATGCGACGTGAGTTCAATTCTCAGCATTAACATTTTTTTTTCCAAAAATTATATTTCATTTGATTTGAATTCATTATTTACATAAATACAAGATAACAATAACTTTGTCCTTCTATATAATAGTAAATTTATAGGGTCTCTTTTTAATTTTTTATCCCGGGCCCCAATTATGTTTGGGACGGGCATGTTTGTTACCACAACAAATGCCCAATCAATGTTAATGACTTCACTAAATAACATGTTTTTTTTCAAGTTCAAGTACTCTAATTGTAAGAAAGATGTATACTTGTTACTAGTATTGTGTTGATTAAGTTGAATTTACATAAAATGTACACAATATTGCAAGTACATTCATTGTAAGATTCCGCAAGATTTAATTTTATATATTTTCAAGTTGGGAAATGAATATTTTTTGGATTTTAGCAAACGATTGGTTATTCTTTATTTAGATATAATCAAATAGTTTTATTGGACAATTTTGAATTACATGGTTCGTATATTCTGATTTTTTGAATTGGTTTACATCAAAATGAATTATTATATTTGATTTTGGATTGGTTTTGATTATTAAAATGGTAATAACCAGTGAGTGGTATCGGATCTTCATTCTCGTTTGAGTAAAGGGTGTCCATTTGTTATCAACATGAGATAATCGTTTTGATGACGCGCACCAAATGTTCGACAAAATCCATAAATTATAAATAACTTCATCAGTCCCAAGTTTTTATGTTTCTTTAATATTAAGATATAGGGCGTGTTTGGCACGGAGCTTTTGGAAGAGTTTGGGAGTTTCTAGCTTTTAGTTTTTGACAAAACTCTCTAGTTTAAACAAAAAATTTTGTTTGGTAGTACGATCATTTAGCTTTTAGTTTAAACAAAACACTTCAACACCCGGGTCGACCCAGCCGGTTCAACCGGTTGGATCGTGACCCGGGGTAGAAGGTGGGTCAATTGAGAACGGTTTTTTGTAAAAAAACGGACCGGATCGAACCGGCCGGGTTTCCCCTGAACCGCGGTTCGACCGCTTATGTTGAACCGGTTAAAACCGGGTTGACCCGTTTTAATATGGTTTCGATAGTTGGATACAAGTAGTGAACACCAAAACAATGAGTCGTTTGCGGTTTCTTCAATGTTTTTCAATATTTAAACTTTATGGACATCAAATTATTGGTTTTATATGTTTATGCATTATGTAGGAAAATAAATATATATAAAAATAGAAAAAGACCATAAACCGGGTTGACCCGGCGGTTCAACCGGTTGAGCCGGTTGACCTGTGAACCGGTCATCACACCGGGTCAACTAAAAACCCGGGTTTTAAAACATTGATTTTATGTATGTCAATGTGCTACTCCTTAAATAAATTTGTGCAACTCAAGAGCTCACCGAAAACCTTAAATCATCATGAATTTGTTATTGCTTCATCTAGATCGGAGTATAGAAGATCGATTGAACAAGGTATGGATTTTGGTCTCTACATTCTATAAATTAGTTTGCACAAGTCTTTTAATTTTTGCTTTCTTGATCAGACAACTAATTTTGGATGTTGTACATCACCTGCTTTATTAAATGCTTAAACCAAAATATATAATCTAATAGAATCAATAATTATTATTTTTTTCTTTGTACTATATTAGATTATGTATTGTATAATATAATAAACAAAAAAAATGAAATTACTTTGTTATTTCTTGTATTCAATCCCAACCAAGTGATCATGTATGTAATCGCACGAACATGATCAATGTGATATACAATCCTTTCATCACTCTTAATTAGCAACCATATGCTAAAGAATTTCATGATTTTATACAAGTTATTCTAAATTAGCAACCACATCCTAAAGAATATTGTCAAGTACTTCGTTAATCTGATATATGTGTTGTTTGTGTGTGATATATGTGTGTCTTGGATATGTGTATGTTCTGATGTGTGTGGTTTGTATGTATTTTCGTTATGAATAAGAAATAGAGACATGAATGGGATAAAAAAATATGAGACAGTTTTGACATGATCACAACGGTATGCTTATTGTAACATCCCAAAAATCAGAGTGAAATTTTCAATTTTTCAAAACCAACCCAAATACCATAATTGTTTACAAAACATTGTTTCCAAGAGTAATAATCAAATCATAGTATCCCAGAAAACCAAAATCATAAAACTATGAGGATGCGCACGATCACGCCTTTGATTTCCCACAATCGTCTGAAGTACATGAAACAATAAACTGAAACTGTAAGCTAAAGCTTAGTGAGTTCCCCCAAAATACCACCACACAAACATATAACAAAACAGATATTGGGTCTACAACCTCCTGGTTAGATTACCCCTGGCCCACAACCTTTCGGTTGGATTTCCTAATACATGTTGGGTCCACAACCTCTTGGTTGGTTAACCCCTAGCCCACAACCTTCCGGTTGGAATGCCCCGGTTTGTTGACCGACAACACAAAGCAATACAGTCTCAACCCCACCATACCATATCGACATATACATAAC